TGGTGTGCGGTGTAGACTGTCCCTAGTGGGCTGAGGCTTGGAGTTCTAATTCCAGTTCTGACTTGCTGTGGCCTTTGTCCTCTCACTGGTACCATGGGGGCAGTGCCAGAGACACCCATTTATTTTCTAGCTGAAACTCACTCCCCACTGTCCTTTGGCAATGTCACTTAAGCCAGATCCCCTGGCTGGAGGGGCTCCGCATCCAGTCAAGACCCTATGGTAGGTTGAAGGGGATAAGAGGGGAGACCCTACCATTATACAACCCAGCAGTGCATGACATGGCTTCTACATGCCCTGGGCTGGTGAGCTTCCTGCAGCCTGGGAGGGACTGGAGGGTTCAGGCTTTGTAACTTTCAGCTGTAGTCCAGGAGCCAGGTCTGAGTGGCTGCCATATTGTGGATGCCAGTTAGCCTTAAAATGAATAAATGGGCACAACATGAAGTGACCTGAGTGCCAATGACAGGTGGGAACAGAGGCTTTGATTTCAAACTCATTGGGGCAGAGCCGGTCCTGCTGTATGTTTGAAGCACCATGCATGTGACTGGCATAAGAAGTCCACTTGGAACTGGACTCATCAGTAGTTTCAAAGGGGGCTAGAGACTAACAGCCATTAGCCTCAGTGATCCCACTAGGCTAGATTGGGGGCAGGGCTTTCCCTCCACCTCTGCTGTTCCTGTCCTGTAAACCCACAGCACCCCAGTCTCTGGCTGTCAGTCCAGCCCCTGAACTCTCAGACATTGTGATCATAGCAATTCTATAGCTCTGACAATCTCAGCTTGTTTTAGCTACCATAAAATGTAACTCAGTCCAGGACCATGTGGCTGCCTGCAGTAGCTCAAGTCCACTTCCATTGCATCTCCTGGGAGTGATTTTTCTCTTAAAAGAAGGCTGTAGGTGTTATGGCTCAGTCAATGCAGAATGCCCTGTCTTACAAGGCTGTGGAATTCTTGGCCCAATCTCGGAAAACCCCAGACATCCCATCTCCCTGATAGGCCAAATGAGTCCCAGATCCCAATGCTGGGAAGGCTTGGTTCTGAACTGCACTTCTTGGGCTCAAATGCAGCTTGGGTCTGCTCACCCTGCCCCAGCCTGTACCAACCTTTAAGCTTGAAAGGCTGTTCCTGACTGACCCAATTTCTGCCAAGTCGGGTTGGGAGTTAGGCAGCAAACAAGTGTCAAAGGAAAGAAACGGCATAAAGACACACAGCTGAGCCCCTTGGCTCCTCTGATCAGGAGGAGGTACTCCACCTGTAAGAGGACTGTGCCCAGAACACCTACGCCACAGGGTGGAAGACTCCTCCAGCTTTCTTTCTATCTAGCTAGAAGATGCAATATGCTCAGTTCCTATCTAAGCAGGGGTCTGTCAGCCAGCCCAGTTGTAAACCCCTCCCACCAAGGACACTTCCAGCACAGCCTCTGAATGGCATTTTTCTGCAGCAGTCCACTGGATGGTTGGAAAGGAGCTAATCATTAGGAATCCAGTGTCCTACCTGCACAGTAGGACTTGCTGTACACATGGGACTCAGGCTGTCTTGGAATCTACTTTAAGAAGAACTGAGTCTGTCCCATGAACAGCTTGTTCCTTTTGTGGAGAGGCCACAGCACAGGGCAGGTTTATTGTCTATACCACTACCAGGCCTGGGCCCTCAAAACAACCTCCAGGAAGGCCTGTGCAGTTGGATCAGCAGGATGGAGGCAGCTGGCTTTCCAGCCCGTGGGTTGGAAAATCCGCAGTTATCTTTATCCACCTGCAGCCAGCCTTGTTCTCCCAGCATGCCAACACCCTCCTAGTGCCCAGAGGTGCACAGCCTCTGCTTGCAGAGCTTTCATTGAACATAGACTAGCTTTCTTGATGTACTTCCTGTGGCATCCCCCCACCTGGCCAGCCTAGTGACTAATACAAACCACTGCTTTCTAGCACGCCTGTTGCAAGCAGTTGGCTGTAAGGGGTTATCTGGGAGTAACTGTTAACCCCTCACAAGCTGCAGCTACAGCTCTAAACTTCAAGCAAGAGCCCCTCACTCACTCTTCAGACTGTCTGGAGGTAGAACTTTATTGCAGACTCTTCCAAGGTAACTTCTCCTAGTGGTGTCAGCCTAGAGCCTCTCCCACAGGGAAGGTGTCATTGGCCAGCAGCCTGGACACAGTCATCTTTCTGTACCTCTGCTGCCATTCTCAGCCTAATGCAATAAGAGGCCCTTGGCACTGACGCTTGGTCAGTGGTGAGGCTGGTACCTTGCAGGGCTATGCGGTGCCAGCTGTCAGCAAGTGAATGAGCATTTAACTAAAACATGGAGGGATATGGTGCTGCCCTTTAATGGAGGGATCAGAAGGTAAGGGACCTTCTGCTAATCTGAGCTAAATCAGGCTTTCTAGCTTTGTAGTGGCCTGTGCAGTCTCTTGGCTCTTAATCAGCCAGGATTCTTGCCTCATTTCCCCCAGTGGAGCTGGGATTATCTAGTGACTTTCTTCTGAGAGCTTCCCCGTTCAGTCGCACAGCCCTTCAGCTCTAGGGCCTGTGTACACTTGGCTTAGGTATGTGGCCTCTCTGAGGACAGGCTGAGAGATGACCAGCCCAAGGCGGTGGGGCAGGTCACCCTTGAAGCACAGGGAATGTTTTTGCTTTCCCTATTTGCTGCATCCTGGTAATGCCTCCCCACTTCTGACTGCTCCCAGGATGCTGGGAGCATCCCCATTCTCTAGGGCTGACACCACTAGGCTGGTGCTACAGAGCATCCCCCTGCTGGGCAGAAGCTCTGGGATATCAGGTCTTGATATTGGCCAATGCTCCCAATCCTCTGAGTGGCAGCTATCTGCCAGTGGCAGTCATGGCTGTTCCAGACCACCCCTCCTTGCTCTATGGACATGTGAAATTCAATCACAAGCACCTCTGAGTCTTAGTGATGCTTCTCCATACACCAGCAGCCTCTTCACTGGGTCAAATACCCCAGCTAGCAGGCTGGATGACAATAGTTGGCCAGATGCCTGTTCTACCCATCTTATTTCCATTTCCTTTTTACTCCAGCGAAAGCTTCCTCACCTGGCCTCCCAGCTGTACCGAGCCAGTGATTGGGAGTGGGGTTGCAGTGCTGGGTCTGGCCCACTTAGTGAAGGGGAAAGCAACAAGTGGGCCCTGTGACTCAGCTGTGCCAAGCTGGGCATGTCCCCATCTTGTACCAGCTGTTTGCTCAGGTTGATGGAGTCAGGCTTGTCCTTCAGGTTTCTCTCCTGGAGGCAGGATTGCAGGTCCTTGTGAAGCAGATGTATGGGCATGCATTGCCATAGAGAAGGGGGACTTCACAGGAAGCAGAGATGCAGTAGCAGGTGACCTACGGGTTCCAATCACCAGTATAATTACTGTGATGTACCCTGCTGGGGTAGTCTTAAATGTCAAATGGCTTGATGTCCCCCAGCACCCTTGCTGGTGGCTCGAGTGTCTCCTGACCAGTCAGTGTTTCTCCTCTTGCTGAGGGGATTTGCAAGCGATAGGGAGTCCTCCATGTGCTAGGGCTAGTTGTGTGTGGGAGGATGGGGACGTAGGAGCTAGCTGCCTCTGGCCAGGCCCAGGCAGGGAGGCTGAAGCCATGTTCTCTGAAAGGTAGCACACAGCACTGCCAGCATCCCCCGTAGGGGATGCAGTGCTGCTGGATTGTGGATGAGATGTAAGGCTATGGTCCTGAGTTGGTCTGGACACTAAAGATCCTATGCCAGGGCATGAGACCTGGTGGTGTAGGTATATTCTCCCCCCCAACACATATACATTCTCTATTTGGGGGACAGAATGGTTATGGCCTGTGACTTCCTTCCACTGAATACCCCAAGATCCCTTCCCTAATGCTAACCAGGGCTGCTGGGCATTGGTACTCTGCCTCCTTCCACCCAAAGTACTTAGTTGAAAGTTTGAGTCAGTGAGAATTTGTGACTAACTTGAGGTCATAGCTCTATCTAGATAATCATAGGGAAACCCCCTTCCCCCTCCCCCCCAGCTTCCTCATGAGTTGCAATGTTAGACACTTCCTGTACAGCTGGAACTCAGCAGGCCAACTTGAGAAGCTTTCTACCCCTGAACTCTCTAGCCTGTGTATCTTGTAACAACCTGTGGGTCCCCTCATGACAGTCTGTCTTGCTGCTATCAGATGTACTTGCCCTTAACAGTGACTCCATGGGTGAGCTTTTCAGAGGCATGCATGGCAGTCAGCTAGTGGCTCCCTCTTCCTTCACAGGAAGTCTTTCTCCCTAGCTCCATTGGGAGAAGTGTGTGGTGTGAAAGAACCCCCTTGCTCTAATAGGATTGGAGAAGTGCCACACTTCCCAAGCCCCCAGGTAAACAATTGCCAGGTCTCATGGTATACAGGCCTAGAAAGACACTGTTATGGTTGGGGTCTTAGACTCCAATCTGAGTGGTGTGAACACGAGTACTCTGGCTAATGATTCATCAGTGTGTTAAGACAAGGATTATGATGCTGCAGGTCTGACAGGCCGGCTATTGTGGGCTCCTCCTGAGATGGCTTCTAACAAGCCTGAATGCCAAACTATGCTCCTGTTGTATTGATATACTAGCAATGCTAGCCTGTGTGCCCTTGGTAGGGGGCAGCTAAATTTGTCCAAATCCAGACAACTTCCAGATCTTGGGTGCACTCCATATTGGCCCCATTCCTAAAGCCAAATCTTACCTCCTAAATGGAGGAAGAGGCTTCCTTCGGCTAAAGAGCATAAAGGGGGAATAGGAGTCTCCTGACTCTTATCTCACAGTTACTTAAGCTCAACTGTGCAAGAGCCCTTTGTGGTGCTGGGGTCTGGATTGCAGCATGCAGTCCAATGGTAGCCTGGAGCAGCAGGCCCTCCTGAGGGATAGCATCCAGGTATCTGTCTAGAGGCTACTCCCCCCCCCCCCCCCCCATACTGGGTGGAACTGCCCCTCTGTGGCACGAAGGGGTGTGCAATTCCTAGTCTCTGTGTTAGCGACGTTATCACAGTAGCGGAATGGCTTTCTCTTTCAGATGCGCTGGTATCCTCCCTCCGAAGCTACCCAGCAAGGATGGAAGTCTCGTCAGTTTTGTTAGTTCTTCAGTAAGTATGTCTGCTTGGAAGTGGGCCTAGGCCAGTGCTGTGGGGACAGTGCTGCAATCTGTTCTGGGTCCTTGCATTCCTGGCCTCTGGGCTGCATGAAAATCTGGCCTGGCCTTGAAGTGCTGCCTTGAGTGGGACTTGTGTATCTATCATTGTGGGGGTGTGGAGGGAAGTCTCTCTCATCCAGGCAGAGAGTGGCAAGCATTCTCAATAGCCCACACATCGTCATCTACTGCATTCTGCTTAGGTGATGCAGGGACTGGAGTAGCAGAATTTCCCCTTTTTTGTCTTCCTCTACTAACTGTGTGAGTTCTGGGGCCCTCTTGTTCCCAGCAGCTGATGTGACTCCGACCCAAAGACTGCATAGGAAACTTTGGCCAAATTAATGCTAAACATTGGCCTGGGTGTGTTGCATTAAGGGTCTGAATGTCAGAATGTTCACTCAGATTGCCGCTGGCATGGAGAATCATTAAAGGGAATGAAGAGTAAGTGTGTAAAAACTAAAGGAGTACTTGTGGCACCTTAAAGACTAACCAATTTATTTGAGCATGAGCTTTCGTGAGCTACAGCTCACTTCATCGGATGCATACCGTGGAAACTGCAGCAGACTTTATATACACACAGAGAATATGAAACAATACCTCCTCCCAGCCCACTGTCCTGCTGGTAATAGCTTATCTAAAGTGATCATCAGGTTTGGCCATTTCCAGCACAAATCCAGGTTCTCTCACCCCCTCCCAAAAACCACACACACAAACTCACTCTCCTGCTGGTAATAGCTCATCCAAACTGACCACTCTCCAAGTTTAAATCCAAGTTAAACCAGAACATCGGGGGGGGGGGGGGTAGGAAAAAACAAGGGGAAATAGGCTACCTTGCATAATGACTTAGCCACTCCCAGTCTCTATTTAAGCCTAAATTAATAGTATCCAATTTGCAAATGAATTCCAATTCAGCAGTTTCTCGCTGGAGTCTGGATTTGAAGTTTTTTTGTTTTAAGATAGCGACCTTCATGTCTGTGATTGCATGACCAGAGAGATTGAAGTGTTCTCCGACTGGTTTATGAATGTTATAATTCTTGACATCTGATTTGTGTCCATTTATTCTTTTACGTAGAGACTGTCCAGTTTGACCAATGTAAATGGCAGAGGGGCATTGCTGGCACATGATGGCATATATCACATTGGTGGATGTGCAGGTGAACGAGCCTCTGATAGTGTGGCTGATGTTATTAGGCCCTGTGATGGTGTCCCCTGAATAGATATGTGGGCACAGTTGATAACAGGCTGTTTCAAGGATAAGTTCCTGGGTTAGTGGTTCTGTTGTGTGGTATGTGGTTGTTGGTGAGTATTTGCTTCAGGTTGCAGGGCTGTCTGTAGGCAAGGACTGGCCTGTCTCCCAAGATTTGTGAGTGTTGGGTCATCCTTTAGGATAGGTTGTAGATCCTTAATAATGCGTTGGAGGGGTTTTAGTTGGGGGCTGAAGGTGACGGCTAGTGGTGTTATTTTCTTTGTTAGGCCTGTCCTGTAGTAGGTAACTTCTGGGAACTCTTCTGGCTCTATCAATCTGTTTCTTTACTTCCGCAGGTGGGTATTGTAGTTGTAAGAAAGCTTGACAGAGATCTTGTAGGTGTTTGTCTCTGTCTGAGGGGTTGGAGCAAATGCGGTTGTATCGTGGAGCTTGGCTGTAGACGATGGATCGTGTGGTGTGGTCAGGGTGAAAGCTGGAGGCATGCAGGTAGGAATAGCGGTCAGTAGGTTTCCGGTATAGGGTGGTGTTTGTGACCATTGTTTATTAGCACTGTAGTGTCCAGGAAGTGGATCTCTTGTGTGGACTGGACCAGGCTGAGGTTGGTGGTGGGATGGAAATTGTTGAAATCATGGTGGAATTCCTCAAGGGCTTCTTTTCCATGGGTCCAGATGATGAAGATGTCATCAATATAGCGCAAGTAGAGTAGGGGCTTTAGGGGACGAGAGCTGAGGAAGCGTTGTTCTAAATCAGCCATAAAAATGTTGGCATACTGTGGGGCCATGCGGGTACCCATAGCAGTGCCGCTGATCTGAAGGTATACATTGTCCCCAAATGTGAAATAGTTATGGGTAAGGACAAAGTCACAAAGTTCAGCCACCAGGTTAGCCGTGACATTATCGGGGATAGTGTTCCTGACGGCTTGTAGTCCATCTTTGTGTGGAATGTTGGTGTAGAGGGCTTCTACATCCATAGTAGCCAGGATGGTGTTATCAGGAAGATCACCGATGGATTGAAGTTTCCTCAGGAAGTCAGTGGTGTCTCGAAGGTAGCTGGGAGTGCCCAACCTGATGATCACTTTAGATAAGCTATTACCAGCAGGACAGTGGGCTGGGAGGAGGTATTGTTTCATATTCTCTGTGTGTATATAAAGTCTGCTGCAGTTTCCACGGTATGCATCCGATGAAGTGAGCTGTAGCTCAGGAAAGCTCATGCTCAAATAAATTGGTTAGTCTCTAAGGTGCCACAAGTACTCCTTTTCTTTTTGCGAATACAGACTAACACGGCTGTTACTCTGAAACCTGTGTAAAAACTGAAGATCCTGGTAGTAAACATTGAGTCCCAACTTTACCACCTGAGCAGGAAGGAGGCAGCCTGTCACCTGCTGTGTCCTATGGTGAGGGTGAACACATATCTGCCCCGCAGGTAATCTCAATGGCCTGGTAAATGAATTAAGAGCAATGCTCAGTGTGCCCTGTCTCTTATGTTCCAGAGTGTCTATTCTTGGCTTGTTCCCTTCTTTGTCTCTCCATGGAACGATGTGCCAGGGATGAAGTAATGGATCCATCAAAATCCATTTTGGTTTGTGGACACTCCGCAGTAACCTCACATTTCTCCTGGTATGGAGTTGTGGGCTTCCCTGTTAGACTGTGAATATATCCATACCCACCCAGCTCAGTGGACTGCATTCTGCCTGTCCTCTCCCCTGCTTCCCCTCCCAACAGATTCCCAGACTGAGTTTCTCCTTCCTGTGCCACTGAAGCCTAGATGGAGGGACTCAATCCTGGTGGTAACAGACGGGTTCATCCCTACCAAGACACTGGTGCCAAATGAGGCCTAGCTGTACAGAGCAATACCCAGGCTGCCTTGCCCTCAACTTTATGCAGCTCTGCTGAAGGAAATGAAAGACAATCAGTTTTGCATGTTTTCTGGCATGAATTTAAAACACTTAACTTTGTGTATGTGTGAGTGTGTAAGTTTGTTCTAGCATTTGTGTAACTGTAGCAACAGGTCTTGGCCTAACTCTTGATCTAGCAAGGTTCTTCATCTTGCTTCTGTGAAGACTTGGCTTTCAAAAATACTATCCTTGTCTCACCCCTACTTGTCCACCTCCCCAGCCCTGCATTCTCCAGTCTGACCAGAAGATTTGAAAAATGTTTGTTTAGAGTACAATGCACTGGGTTTCTTTTCTTGTCCGGTCTCTTCTCTTGTTTTTAAAGTCAGGGTTATCTTTTTTTCCCCTCAGACTTTATATAGAACAGCTGTAAAATATCTAACTTTTTTCTTCCCTCCCCTGCCCCCCCATCCTTCTGATTGGAGAGATTCCAGTGTTGCCAAATCAGCTATCCTTATGGGAGTTCAGAACAAAAAGTACGAGTATTTTTGTACCATCTGTAATAAGGAAATATTTATGCATCATAAAGAATTTTTGTGTGTTTTTTCGTGTGCAATTAAAGAGAAACTGTAATCCGGTAAGATAAGTTAATGTTTAGTTAAAAGCTTGAAAGAAAAGTTTTTTTCTGTAACAATGATTCCGTCAGGCGTAGTAAATGAGAAACTGTGCAATTTTTGTTTTTTTATTTTAGCATCTTATTGCTTGGTATTGAAGTGCTTAAGTATTCTATACAACCATGGCTGTCTTGCTTGTATTAAGACTTCTGAGAATAAGTTGCTATAGAATTGCTGATCCTATGAGAATGTGAAACTGGATAATATATGAAATGCAAAAAATATACCCAGAGGCTGCTGTGACTCTTTTCTGTTGTCTGTGGTGTATTTTCTTCTGAGCACCAGAAATCTCAAAGCACCTCAGCTTGAGAAGAGCCCCGCACCACCCCAGGAGGCAGGTCTGTCATATGCCCGTCATAGGTAAGAAAAGGGAGGCAACAGGGTCGAGTGAACTTTCTAAAGTCACAGAGCAAGTCGGTGCCAGAACACAGGCATTCTGGTAGAAATGTACGAACTTTCTCACTCACATAGTAGAAAGTGCTTGGGTTGGCTTGCAAACTCAAACAGGCACCAACTTGACTTTTTTTTTCCTCTGAAAAGTCAAAGTTACCAGCCCTAAAATGACTTTCTCCCCTCTACAAGCTAGGAACCTCTAGTGTCTGTCACCTTAAGTGTCTTCTGGCTCTTGTGATCACATGTTGTTGTGACCTCCCTCTTAGCAGAAATCCTCCAGCCTGCCCCTCCTAGTGAAATTCAGCATGTGGTGTGTCAAGGCAAGGGCACTGAGTGGGCACCTTTCTACCCACGCTGGGGTGCCAAAGCTGATGTCTACAAAGGATCATGACCCTGCTCAGTCAGTGACTTGTTCCTTCACTCTCAACAGCTACTTGAGCTTCACCCCGTGTCTGAGCCTGCCTGGATGGAGATACTTCACCTTACCATGTGCATTGTCTTCACAGCCCTAAGAGGGCTGTGATCAGCTATGTATACAGTGTGGCTTTTCCTAGGCCACAAGGGCTTCCTTGTTCTCTAGGCTCTTCCCCTCTGGTTTTGCAGGAGCAGCACCCTGTGTGGATGCTTCAGGCCCCTGACTTCTAGCTGGCAGGGGGGGCTTCTTTCCCAGTCATTTAACATACAAGAGGCTCTTGCAATGCCTTCCTCTGAAGAGGTGGGATGGTGGCATGTCTGCATGATGTGCTGCCTTTACACTCCCTCTATGCCTGTGAAATAAGTGCCATGAAACTTATAAGGGGAGAGTTGAGGCAGTGACTTCTGCAAAGTAAAACAAACTGGCAACCTGCATTCAGTAGGCCCTGGTGTGCAAGTGTAAAGTGCAGGCCTCATTGAATGTCACCATGTACCCCTGACCAGGTCTTGCATAGAAGCACTGGCTGAGACCTTTCTTTTTGCCCTTCAACCGATCTCAGGATGACTAAGGGGCTTGGTCTGTGTAGCCCTGAAGCTTTCAGGTCTAACTCACACCCCAGTCAGAGGCAAAAGGAGCCAGTTCCTGCCTCTGCTTCCCTGTCCCTCTGGAAAGACACCTTGCCATACACGAGGCCCTCTGCTCTTGGCATGGGTTGGATGAGAGCAAAGACTTCCCCCAAGCTGCTTGCAGTATGGAGCCCTAAGATGCAAGCAAAGGGGAGCCTGCCCCTTTCCAACCCCAAGTCATTCCCTTTGCTTCTAGGAATCTGTGCCTCTTCCCTGAAACTCAGTGGCATTTCCTAAGGTTAGAGTAAGAACTGGCCCTAGATCTGTTCTCCCCAGAACTAAGGGCTTGGGTGTTGTCCTCGCCAGGTGCTGCTTCTGAAATATTTCCCTGGTTGTAGACATGCACATCCAAAGTGCATCATGCAAGCAGTTTCCCTAATGCTCAGCATGAGCTGCCCAGGTCCCCTTCTCTGGCTCCGCGTCAGCAGGGGCTCTGGTTTTAGCTTCCATTGCTGGAGGGGAGCAGTCAATGCCTGGCTGAAATGCTGTCTGCCTGTAGCTATCAGATGCAGTTTTGTAACCTTCTTAGTCCCCAGCTACTAGTGATGGGGGGGGGGGGGGGAGTAAAATCTTTTTTGGGGCCAACTTCTGCTTGTCACCACCTCTAGGTTAATCAGTCAGTGGCTTTCTTCCATCTTGCTGCCCCCTGAGTTCCTACTCATGAGGTGAGGCTGCCCTCCAGCCTTCTGCTGAGGCTGGGAAGGGCTCTCCCTCTGCTGTCGGAATGTTTTGCTGTTTTTCCTGCGTAAGACGGGGAAGCAGAGATCTCCATAGAAGGAAAACCTCCTCTGCCTGCGGTTGTGCTCCTCCCAAATACTCATGTACACTCCTTTCTGCTGCAGTGAACTGGCTGGCTCAGCTGCTAAGCCCTTGCTCCATGCCGTGGTAATCCAGAGCTCCAGAAGGCAATGCAGGGAAGAGGGCGTGAGGCTCCAGCCATAGCAAGGCCAGTACAAGGCAGCATTAGTCTGGCAGCCTGGGCCCTGTGCTGGACCTAGCCCCCTGCTAGCAGCCGCTCACCTCAACCTTTGCTGCTGGCCCAGTCATTGAACGATGACTCGGGTGTGACCTACAGCTAGACTAACCCAAGAGCGTAGCCGAAAGTAGAGCTACTGGAGCAGAAGATCCCAGCCCACCCTGGTTGCTCTGGGATTCCAGCTACTGAGGGCTGATGCTCTGATCAGCTGCCAAGAGGGGCTCTGCTGGAAGGCTTCCACCCCTGCATTGCTGTGCTTCTGACTCAAGGAGCAGAGTGGGCTGGGTGGCTGGCTCTTTGCAGCAAGGTTCAGCTTGCTCTCCGAGCTGTCACGTGGCAGGGCCATTCAGTGTTCCAATATTTTCTATCTGCTCCCCTATTTAAAGAGTTGCTGTGATTGCAGAAGCCAGCTGGGTGGGTGCTCTAGGAGCTAGCAAGGGAGGGGCCTGCTCTGCACGGTGGGCCTCCAGTCAACATCAGCTCTTGCTGTTAGGCTGGCAGAAGGGGCAGCCCGCCTGCACAGGCTCAGGCCCGCTCTGGTGGCCAGTGGAACATCACACCAATCTCTGAACAGAGAGGCATGTTCCTATGAATAAATGATGAAATAGCCAAGTGTGTGGAAGCAACCACTCCAGATCCCTTTGGCTGGAGGAGAAAGAGGCCCCGCAGCTGATGGGCAGTGGCCTTGCTTGCCCCAGGCTGCATTGGACTTACAAGCCTAGCCGTGAGCAAGTTCCCAGCTGTAAGATGGTTCTCTGGGGTGGCTGTGTTCAGCTGGACAACCTCCTTCCTTTGCTCCTGGAGCTGCTAGAATCTCATGCTAGGTTGGGCCTGTGGGGAAGGAGGGGCAGCCAAGATGTCCCAACAACAGTGATGTGGGGCAAAAGGAGGCCTCCCATTTGGTGAGTTAGGTGGTGGTGGGGTGGCATAGCTGGCTGGGGTTGGCCTCCCTTCCCCTTTGCTCTGGCATGGCTCACCAGTGAGCAGAGTGGCAGGTGGTTAGCCCCAGCAGGGGAAGCAGCTAGTGCCTCTGGGTATCTTCATTGCTAGAGCACAGCAATAGTGTTGCCCCTACTAGCCCGAGTTGGGAGGGGGCATTTAATGGCCGGCCACAGGAGGAGAGGGGACCCTCCTGGCCTTTAGTTTGGCTAGATCCTGCTGTGGGCCCTACGCTGCCCTTGAGTGGCTCTAGGTGGCTCTGTGCAGTGCACTGGCTGAGATGCCCCTGTGCCAGTAGCCCATGCAACCTTGGTGCCCAGCGGGCCATGCAAGGGCTCTGATCTCACAACCCACTGTGCCTGCTGGTGTCTCTGCTTCCTCCTGCAAAGGTTGTGGCTTCTTGGGCTTGTTTTCTCTCTCTCCCAGAGCAAGGCCCAGTGCTCCAAGGGCAGAGCTAGGCAGCTTAATAAAGGCAACAAGCAAAACCAAGGAGTTTAAAAAGTCAGCTCTAAAAATAGCCCTTCTGGCTACGGTGCCTGGGAATTGGCTCACGCTGACGTCCGCTGGGCAGCAGAAACAGCTCCGAGCAGGGCAGCATGAGCAAACCTCCCTCTCTAGCTCCCTGCTTGGCTGGGGCTTTAGAGTTGCTTCATCTTTTGCTCTGGGCCGGAGGGTGGGACTGGGGGCAGCTCCTTGCAGCTGAGATCAGCATCCCCCAGGTATGCAGTAGCTTGGCCAAGCACTAGGCAAGGAGACTGAGCCCCTTCCCTCTGCTGTATCCTCGTGAAAGCGAGCAGCAGCAGGGATGTAGGTGGGGGCCTGGGCTGGGGGAAGAGAGCTGTGGGGAGCCTGCAATGGGCCCCTTCCATTCCAGGAGCAAAGTGCTGCGTTGGCTGATGCTGGCAGCGTGCCTCCAGCTGCTGGAGCCTGGGGCTGAGCTGCCCTCGTGTGTAGGTGCTGGGGGTTGATGCCAGCACCCCATGCACCATGACCTCCCTTGCTGCATTGGGGGCCCCATGTCACTGATTCAACCTCCTTCCGTTGCGCTGGGAGGCTGTGCCCCCAGAACCTCTCCCAGGGTTGGCTCTGGGGCCCCTAGCCCTGCCCCTGGAATGGGCCAGTTTTGTCACTGGGCTGGGTTCTACAGCCTCTCAAATCAGCCCCCAAGCCTGCGTCTCAATGCCTGCCCCAGAGCCTCCCCCCACACTCAGAGCTCTTCCCCCCTCAAGTCTCTGGCTGGGTTTGTGGTGAGCCTTTCTCTTCACCTCCTCTTCCCTCCCGCTGGCTGCCAGATCCAGCCACATCTCAGCTTTGCTCACCTAAGTGGAAAGCCTCCCGGGGGAGAGCTGGGGGCCAGCGCAGCCGGGCTGTGGGGCTTTAAATTATAGAGGAGATTTTAAAAAACCTTTAGCACATGCATTAACATGGCCTGGGCCATGAATAATTGACACCCAGCGCTAGTCAGCTTTTACACAGGGACCCAGTCCAGCCTCTGCTGCCGCCAAAGTAGGTCATGGCTGCTCCAAGCACTCCTCGGCCAGAAACTGAGAGAGAGAGAGAGAGTGTGTCTGTGTGTGTGTGTGTGTGCGCTGACCCAGCCCCTCCCTGTGTGTGTACGCATGTGTGTGTGGATCACAGGCTGCCCCTGCCTGTCCTTGTCTCTGTGTGGCTGGGCACTGACCCTGTCCCTGGGGCTGGATACAGCTGTGGCTGTGCAGTCGTCCCCCCCCCCCCCAGGGTTTCCCCTGGGCAGGAGCTATCCTAGCATGTCTCAGCAACGCTGGCTCCTCCCATCTCCCCTTCCCCTGCCCTGTTGGTGGTGCTGACTCCTGCCCTGAAGGGCTCTGCCCCCACAGGAGGCTGTGATTCCCAGAGGG